GTTTAGGTTTTCCTCACCTGTTTGTTTACCATAATCACAATGTTGCTGTTGATCAGTGTGAGCTTACACATCGTATTCTGTAAAATCCTTGTCAGCTCTGGTCATCAAAAACAGAATACCAGAGAAATTAATATAAAACTTATTTGCATGCAGTGTTGAGGAATGGCACTAGAAATATGATAGCCAACCAAATTCTGCATTAAATCAGACTGTTCCAATATTGTGACCCAGTTTCTCTGAGAAAAAATATAGATGCACTTTAAACTCTTGACATAGAAAAGTCCCATACAACTTATCATGATCACACACTGTGCTGGTTATGCATAGAGATCATTTTCCCAGCTGTTTGGAGCTGATATGAACAAAGAAAGGACACATTTTACAACTATTTAGAGAAGGGACTTTTTATCTTCAAATGATTGTCTCAAAAATAACTAAATGTTGAAACTGAATGATCACACATTGTATGAACAGAAGTTGGTGGTAGTTCATAGTTTTAACAATGAATTTCCCATTTGAAACAGGTAATGCAAAATGGAGCATGTTTAGCCAGTGTAAATGTCTTTGGGAAAGGTATTACAGAAATTAGCTTTAACCTCTCTAGTTAGTTGTTTTTTTGTTTTTTTTACTGTGTTTTATTTTTACAGTCAGTTTGGCTTAATGCTCTGCTGTGCAGCAGGTGTCTCAGATGGTCAGCTTATTGCTTTAGAACATGACCTCCCACTGACATCAGTGTAAATAACTATCTAATTCAAGGTTGACTTTTGTTATAAGACACCCTGAACATACACAGCTTTGTTTATTTTTGAGGTTGTAGCTGTATGAAGATGATAGAAAGCTGCTTTCGTTTTCAATCTGCTCTAAATAGCCGTCAGAAACTAATTTTGTATTTGTAATCTGAAAACACTGACAAATAAATCTGCTTGCAGGTACAGCATTTAGAGTTTATGACCTCTTAACCCTTCTGCAAAAAAGAATGACCTGACCTTAAGTAGTTTAATACTTGGATTATTGACATTCGTCTTTCAGATTCCAGTAAGCATTGATGATCTTGAAGGCAAAAAGGATCCAATCATTGAAGGTAGGATGATTTGTTAATTATATTTCTACCTCAATCTGAAAAACCTTCACAGAAAAGTCTTCATTGCAATCACTTTAATTTCTTCAGAACGAGAGCAAAATGTTTACACCAGGTTTATGAAGTCGCACCGCTGCTACGACCTCGTGCCCACTAGTTCCAAGTTAGTGGTGTTTGATACGTCGCTTCAGGTAAAGCAAGTACATTTACATAAATGCAAATGTTACGTGGTTCAGGAAATGAATTGAATATTTAACTATCCTTCAGGTGAAGAAGGCGTTCTTTGCGCTTGTTTCAAATGGGGTGAGAGCAGCTCCTCTGTGGGACAGCAAGAAGCAGTGCTTTGTGGGTAAGAAAAATGTTTCATCTGAAAGTAACACTAATGAGAAACGTATGTTTAAAAAAAAACAATAATAAATGTTATAATACAGTTAATGATTCGCTGTGGGTTTTTTTTCAATCCAACCCACAGGTATGCTAACTATCACAGACTTCATTAACATTCTTCATCGCTACTACAAGTCTCCCTTGGTGAGATGGTTTTGTGTGTTTTAAACACAAATGCTGTAACATAAACTGTTAATGCCATTTTAATTTCATCAGTGACTGAACTTGTACTTTTTTATATTTCAGGTTCAGATATACGAGTTGGAAGAACACAAAATTGAAACATGGAGAGGTGAGAGCTTTTAATGATCACTCAGACTGCAGCATTTATTACTTTATTAATTGTAATTAATGTTTTTTTTGTTGTTTTTGTATTCATTTTAGAGGTGTACCTTCAAGACTCCTTCAAGCCTTTAGTTTGCATATCTCCCAATGCCAGGTTGGTAGCAGCACTGCATTGATTTTACTGTGAACTTTAATTCCTTTTTTTATTAATTTTAATCATAGTTGTGATCAACATTGTGATCGTTCATCACTGGACATTTAAGTGTGCTGAATCTGACGTTATCATAGAAATCAAAAGATTGTTTAAATGTGATCTTTATGACAAAAAAACTTTATTTTCATTTAACTTATTTATTGCACTTTCTTTGCAAGAAACAAACGTACAAACTGGAACACTTTTTTCTAAACATTTCTTACAAAATATGTTTGAATAACTTAGTGATTTTTTTTCTGATCTCAGTTTGTATGACGCGGTGTCGTCTCTGCTGAGGCACAAGATCCACAGGTTGCCTGTAATCGACCCGCTGACAGGGAACACGCTGTACATCCTCACACACAAGAGGATTCTTAAGTTCCTGAAGCTTTTTGTAAGTTTCCACTGGCTTTATTACAGATACAGGATGAATATGTCTACACTAAAGAGCAGTTAGAGTTTGGTGATCTGTTACCGATCTTTAATTTTATTTTAAAATGAAACGTCTCAGCATCTCATAGAAAATATATTTCCCTTTAAATAGTTTTTTCTTTTTTTACATTTCTATATTTTATTTTTAATAGCTCACAAAATCTGAGACAAGCAAACTTTGATCAGAAAAATATTGGCTTTCTCAATGATCAACAGTTTCTCAATGCAATGCAACATAATTCTGATTTTCTGTTTTAAAACTGTAATAAAGTTCAACTCAAAGTAAAGTAGGGAAAACGTCATGGTGAAAAACAACTGTGATTCCCTAAAGATCACTGTTTTCTGTGCTCAGATATCGGAGATGCCAAGAGCCTCGTTCTTGAATCAGACTTTAGAGGAACTGAACATTGGGACGTTCAAGAACATAGCAGTTGTCCGAGCAGACACCCCTCTGTACACGGCGCTGGGTATTTTTGTGGAGCAGCGAGTGTCCGCGCTCCCTGTTGTGGATGACAAAGGTAAGTGGGCTGACTGAAGCTTCTTTTTCCTGTTCGCTTCTTCTCCATATCCGCAGTTTTCTAAAACTATTCTGTCTTACTTGCAGGTCGAGTGGTGGACATATACTCGAAATTTGATGTCATAGTAAGTTCTGTGCAGTCACTTATGTTGATATTGTGCTAATACAATTTTTTTCTAGGTACATTTTTTTCATAACTTTACAAATTAACATTGTGCTTTTTTGTTGTACTTCCATTTGGGTTTCAACTACTTCTAAAAACAATTGTGGCGCTTAAAAGAAACCAGCTGTTTTCTGACAAGATAATGTTTTTGGTATCTGCTGTTTCAAATACCTTCTGAATGCTCTGTGCCGTTACCTAGCAACCCAAGTGGAACTCCAGCATGTTTGGCCAGCTGGTTTTACCGCTGCATGCTCTGTACAATGGCTGCTGGAGAAGAAAAATGTTTTGTTGTGGACTTACCATTCAGAAAGAACTTTCTGGATTCTTGTTGGTTGTTCAGGAGGCTCTACTAATGCTTTGCAAAGAAGCACAGTTTCATAATTGCGCATCTGTTTGGAGCCATTTTCATGTGCGACTGTAAATGTCGAATTGGGGGGGCGTGGAAAGCAGCAGCTCATTTGGATTTAAAGTGACCAGTGGACAGCTCATTGTGAAAATAGACAGAACTGAACAGGCTAAAATCTTATCTAATAAAAATGTTGTGCAAAAAAACATAATGAACATCCTAAATGAAGGAAGCATAAAAGGGTTTTTGTGTTGCCTTCCAACTTCTCACAGCTGTGATTTTAAGAATAATGTGTTCTTCTCCTAATTACATTTGATTATTTATATAAATCCTTCAATTTGCTGAAGATAACACGAAAGACCTGCTTACAGATCTTAAAGGCAGAATCATCTGAAGAACATGCAAGCCTCATATCTCGTCTCAGTATCGGGGCGGCGACGGCACTTTAGAAGCTAAGGACAGAGCGTGACCAGGATCAGTGAGGGTCACTGAGGGGTGAAGCAAAGCCCTGCATGCAGAGTGAACAAGTGCTGTCTGGTGGTTTCCTCTCTGGGTCACAATGGAGGTGATTAAGAAACCACATTCAGAGTCATGCTGACTTTTCATCCCAGAAGTTGCCCCAGTTTAACAGCAGAGCAGGGCCGGATCCTGGAGGGACGTTCAAAACAACCGAGAGAAGCTGCTGCGCGGTGTTTGTGTTTCCAGCGCCGGAGCGTGAGCCTCAGAGTCACGCTGCTGTTTGCTTCTCTTAGATATATTTCTGTGAAAATGCCCTTCTCTGTGAAACATCATACACTGAGAGTTTTCCCCTCTAACAGAATCTGGCTGCAGAGAAGACGTACAACAACCTGGACGTGACTGTGACCAAGGCGTTGAAGCATCGCTCGCAGTACTTTGAGGGAGTCCTGACCTGCAACAGACACGAGACCCTGGAAGCCATCATCACCAGACTGGTGGAGGCCGAGGTGAGGAGTGGAGGACACGAAAAGCTGCTTTTCACGTCCTGAACAAGAAAAAGAAAGCACAACAGTAATTCAATAAATGGTCACTAATTTCTTGTTTTTCCAGGCGAGGAGAAAAATTAAGTTTTTATCTATTTCTGCCTTAGAAGCTTCAGATTGTACTGCAGGAAACAGAGCAAATCAGCTGTCACAATATACGACCTGGTAGTTTTAGACAGCTGAGGTTGACACTTATTGAAATATTTTCTCATGTTTTCCATCTACAGTGTCTTATATGAAAACCAACACCAAGCTGGAGTTAGTAAAGACTCACAGTTACTGAGTAAGACGGATGAGTAACAAAATAATTCACGTTTTCCATTATCTTTATCTGACGCTAGAGATCCAGTCAGTCTTTCATGGTATTCAAATTACTAACTAAAACTGTAGCAGATTTAACTAGCTTTCATTTTGCTCTAAATTTGCATTCACTCTCATTCTTGTTTGAGTTTGTAGGAGAAGGAAGTAACATGACATTGTATCCATGTGTAGAAGACCAAATATGTTCAGTAGGAGGTGGAAATCTTTCTGGCTTCTTCGGATTAATTTTGTGAAGTTTGCGCATAAAAACTCACAACTTTTATCCCTCTAAATGTGTGTCATCACTTCAGTAAATCAGCAGGAGACTGAAATGTACCCAGCACGTTTATTCCAGCTAATTTCACATGTTGGTTCTTCGTTCTCTCTGTTCATTCTCTTGTCCTGTGGTAGCATTGAATTATTGCACTCGGCAGAACTGAGGCTCATTTGGGTGGCGGTCCTCTGTCTCCTCCAGGTTCACAGACTCGTGGTCGTCGATGAGAACGAAGTGGTGAAGGGAATCGTCTCCCTTTCCGACATCCTCCAGGCGCTGGTGTTGACCGACGGAGAAGAGGGTGAGTAAAGCTGACGAGCTGCTGCACGATATGCTGCTTATATTCAGTACATTTGGATTTTGTTTTATTTTTTCTTTTTTTCTTTCGACAGGCACAACTTTAGGGAGTAATTAGGAATGCTGTTTTGGGATGAGACCAGAGCAAAGGGAAAGCACAAGCATGTGGGAGGCTCAGTGAGAGAATGCGTCGTCATCTCCGATAACGCCCACACAGAAAGACTTCTCTGTCTCCGCAGTTTTAGCAATACTGAAATTTATACCTAGTAGCACAGGACTTATAAAAACTTCTTTAAATTGAGCCAAATTCAAAGCCCCCAGTAGTTGACCAGAGATTTGAAAGAAGAAGAAATGTGAAGAATGCAGCACAGTCACCATCTCTGCCCTTTTAATAGTTTATGAAGTAATTTAAAAAAAAAACATTCCCCCATTTTACCAGCATTTAATTTCATTTTGAGGCTGAAAACAGTGAAGGCACTAAGCTTCTCTAAGAGTTTAATTGGATGTTGCAACTCGAGCGAATCGGCATCGGTGTGTAAACCCCCCCGAGACTTTTTCTTTAAAGCTTGTGTCGGATTATTCTCTTCTTGTTTGTTCATTTAATTTAGGACGTTTATTTAAAGGCAGGTGTTGTTGTGTTGATCTATATCATTGTAAGCATTATTTCAGTTTCGACTTGAGCATCACCAAAAACGTTCACCAGCATCAAAACGTCAAGTCAGGAATGTTTGAAAACATTTTTGCCATTAAATATTAAAAAAAAAAGTGGTAAACGTCTGGATTTGTTCTTTCCGTCTGGGTTTTTGCAGGTTGCAGCTGAAGGGGTTTGCACAAGCAGTTTTAGGATTACAGCTGCAACCTGTGGGAATAATCCAGGTTCCACCAAAACATAAATACTCTGATCAGCAATCACCATTCAGCTTTGTTCTTATCTAACTGTCCAAATATCAATACATATACGAGTATATTTTGTTTTATTTTGTGTGTTGTGTCCTGCCACATGTAAACTACATATGTAACGGATTGTTTATCGTACTCAGACATTTGTTTTTTTTTTTGCATGTGACCTACTTTGATTGATGACATTATTGGAAAAAATAATTCTGTCATTAATGCTAAATCTTCATTTTATGAAGCTTTTTCTGAACTTTATGGTGAAGTTAAAAATGTTTTCCTGTTTTTGGTAGCTACAGTGTTTGCAGTCAAAACGTAACTGATTAATTGTTTAGTTCTTTTTAGGTTTTGATCCATTGTTTATAGGACATAATCACTAAGAATCACAGAACCAGCATTGACATTCCATTTTCCAAGATGGATGTGTGTGAGGAACATTAAATGTCCTGCTTTATGCCTGATGAAGTGTGTCCATCTGCATGTAAATGCATCATTTTTGTACTAATCTGATACCTTAATTTAAAACATGTCAAATAAAACCTTTGTTTTACCTTTGCTTTTCTAATTTGCATGTCCTAACTTCCACCGGAGTGGATTCTGCATTTTCTTCTTCTTTTCTTGACACTTTTCTCACTTTTGGGTCACTGGAGTCACTTTAAAAGCTACATATGAGCAAAACAAAGACATTTCACCCACATTTATTGAAAGAGATTGCATCAGAAAACAAGCAGAGTGAAAAAAACATAAAGTCTGTTCTGGGTTTTCTGCCTTTTGACCATCTGGACATGGAAACCAGCTGTCCTCTGTGACTGCACAGACAAGTGGGAATAGATGGATGTACACGGACAATCGGTTTAAAGCAAATATTTTTATTTACATTTTGACAAAAATGGAAAGTGGAAAATTATTTATACTCCTCCAAATGAATAGTGGGATCATCTTTGCTCTCAAAGTCCTTTTAATTGCCAACTAGCGTTTTCTATTTTTATTTTGACGATTTATCTTTGCTGATGAGGCCGGAAGGTCTCCTCTCCATCACCCTAATCTTTAGCTCCCTTCACAGGTTTTCCATCAGATTTTATTTGGGATTTTAACTGTTAATGTTCAGTCAGAAGAAACATTTTGGTGAAATAAAAATACTTCAAAACATAAGTCAGGAGTATAAATAGTGGCATTTATTATATATTCAAGCCAAATTCAGAAAGTTAAATCTTCTAGTTACACAGCAGAGGAGGAAGACCATCTGAACAGCTTTTAGCCTGAATAATAAGAGGCCTTGCGACTTCCTGGAAGGGTTTCTGTAAACGTTTCGATGCGGCGCAGCGCCGTCTTACGTTAACCCTGGTGGCAGCAGCTGGAGATGATTCTGGGAAATGTTTATTTTTAATAACTTGAGCTCAACAGTAGTCCAGGTGGTCTCTCTGTTCCAGCAGCATGAGGACAAGTTTCTGCATTTCCCCCCAAAATATCCAAATTGCTGACGAGCAAAGAAAACTGGTTGACAGGAGCGAACAGAGCAGCAGCACGATGTTGTAAGCTGAAATCTGTCTCAGGAGGTTTGGAGGACTCCAAAGAGCAGAGTGATCCTGCAGGCAGTCAGAGCCACCTAGTGTATAATACGCTGCAATAATTTAGCTTCCACATGGCAACAAATGTAGACAAACACCTGATCTGTGACTTACTGGTTTTATTAAATGGGTGATGATGTAGGCACTATATCTGTCAATAAATGATTCAACATGGGTTTTATGTGCTGCATCTTATGAAAAAGCGTCTCTGGAGTTTTTACCGGTACCAAAAATGTTCAAATATAGCTACACCGTTTAAAATTAAATATAAATATTTTGTACATTTAAGGTATTTTTGTGACTTTTAGAGCTTCAGGTGAAGCAAAATCTTGCCAAAACATTTCTAAACTGATGTCTGTGTGGAAGAAACGCTTCCTGGGCCTCAGGGCTGATTTTAGATGTTTTTCCTCAGATGGGCATGAAGTTGAACGTCCCCAAACTCCAAGGCAAATAAAATAAAACATTCACTAGAACGCTTTTAGCAGCTTTAAATGGTCTAGAAGATCAAATTCAGGCATGCTTTTGCGTGAATCATGAATTATTGTCATTATCCAGAGGAGGGTGCCTTGGAGTTATTTGTTTCCACCATTAATCTTTTGCCTTCTTGCTCTCTTTATCCTTTCTGTTCCCTTTTCCTTCCTTGTCTTTCTCGGCGTTCTTCTTCTCCTTCTTCTTCTCGTCCTTGTGCTCCTTGTATTTCCACTTAGGCGGCTCCAGGTAGCCCTTGTCTTTCTTCTTCTTCTTCTCTTTCTTTGGCGTTGGGTCAGAAGGCTTGTTCACGTTGATCTGAGGGATGCACCCAGACGGGAACACGCTGTTGCGTCTCGCCATGCTTCGGGGGATGAAGGCGGTGGCCACCTTGTTGGAGGCCACCGACAGGATGCTGCCTCTGCGCTCGGTGTCAGGGCAGCACACTGCGGCCACTGTCTCTGCAGAGTGGATGCAGGGGGAGACGTACGACACCGAGCCGTTGCTGTGGCACACCGAGCTTTCTCCCAGATCCTTCTGCGGATGTTTCTTCACCAGCTCCGGCACTGCGAGCCGTCTCTTCCCCACCTCGGGTGGGCTGGTGGGCAGCAGCGGGTGGCACGCGGTCACGACGAGCGGACTGTGGACGCTGGTGGTCATGCGCACCATGTGGTCCATGACCCCGTTCTCCTGGGGGTCACGAGGAAAGCTGAATCCAAATGTGCTTTTGATTCGCAGTGTGATCTTCTCTGCAGACGTCTTCTGAGACGTCGCCCTGGTCACTCTGCCCACGAGGTCGGGCCACTCCGGGACGTAGCTCTCACAGAACTGCTCGGCTCTCGGCCGCACGGTGAGGCGGCGGAGACGGTGGAAGGTCTCATAGCGACCTGTTTTCAGGGTCCAGTCACGAGCGCACCGTCCCCGGAAGGAGTCCACCGCGTTTACGTCAGCCCCTGGAAAGAAAGAAAGACATGAGGAGGAGGAGGAGAGGGAGGAAGAAAAGCTGGCTCTTTAGTCTTTAGTGACTTCTCAGGTCTGCGTAAAAAAATCAACCAGACAGCTGCAGCTAATCCAGAACGCTGCTGCTCACTAGAACCAGGAAAATAGAGCTCATCACCCCAGTTTTAAAGCCCTTTCACTGTAGCTCAAAAAATAGACTTTAAAAATATTTCTGTAAGTTTATAAATCACTGAATGACCTAACACCAAAATACATTAAAGATCTGCTGTTGTATCTTTAATGTATCTTCTGGTTTTGGTCTGCATGACGTGAAGCACTTTGAACAGCCGTCCTGCTGAAATGTCCTAGACAAAATAATATTGACTTGACTAGACATTCAGCTGACTTCCTTAGTCAAAATTCATTGGTTGGGAGTTTAGTTAGTGTTGGAAGTAGCATAAAGTCCATTAGCTGCACTGTGATTTTGTTCATCGCCGTTCAAAGCAATGTTTACCAGAAATCTGGTCAGTCACAGCAGCGAGTTTGAAAAACACGTGAGCTAAAAAGAAGTAAGTACCTAATCTACAGCCTGGCAGGAGGACCAGTCAGGAGATTACAGTAGACATGTGATAATGCCCTCAGAGTGATCCCTTAAAGCAGCCACGCGTCACCGAGTCATTAACTCAGGAGCCGAGTCAGTCGGCTTTAAATAGGCGCTGATGAAACATGGCTGCTGTCACCAGCCGCACTGAGGCGCTTCTGTGGAGCTGAGGAATCTTTTTATCCAACACCGTCCCTGCTTTTTCTGTTTAATTCCCTTCATTACACATGAAGGTCCAAATGGTTTAGACATCCAGAATATCCTTTTAATTCGTTCCATAATGTAATGGTCCTTTTCTGGATCATTATTTCTCTTAAGTTTCTCAAAATCAGAAGTTTTTCTTTTAAATTTGTCTGCTTTTTTTTTTTTACTCTATTCAGTTACTGTGCCTGATAAAGAAAAGACATAACTCGAAATAAAAACTTTAAAGAAACCTCAAAGACGTTCAGAAAACCAGGAATTGTTTGAAAAACCAACTTTAAAACGAACATTAGAAATACTGGCATCTTTGGAGCGAAATATAAAGCCATGAGGGAAGAGACAAAATCTTTTTCATGTCGTGGCATTATGCATTTTCTAGGCATATATTACCATTTTATAGCACAATCAAGTAACTCTGTTATCTGCAGTTGTTATAATAATACTGCGTATATCAAACATTCGTTAAAAGAAATGGACCTTTCAGTTTGATGCCTTGAAATTGGCCTCTGTCTCTTTAAGAAGCTCCTGCTCTTTCACAAACTCCACCTTCCCTTCATTATCACTACAATGCTTCTCCATGATGCCGATAACTACTGTTCTCAGGAGCGTTGGACTGAGAAGTAGTTCTTATGATGAGTTCAACAGACTCTCAGGTGTTTGCTAGTTGCTGCTGCTGCCGCTAGCCTGGAGGAGCTGAGTGGGAAATCGGCTCCGAAGAGGAGCTTTGGGCAAATGGCTGGCACTCCAGG